ACACACACACACACACACACACACACACACACACACACACACACACACACACACACACACACACACACACACACACTCATTTTGTCTGAATCCCAAATTTCCATCAGAAAACCATTTCAATGGACATTTTTCAACCAGCCCTACTTTTGTTTTCGCAAGTCCCTCGGTGTCAGAGCCAGTGATGTCCAGTTGGACTTACGTTTCATTTAGGCTCAGATACTCAAAGGCACTTGAAATCAATGGGAGTTAAGCACCTTTTGAGGATCTGGACCTCAGGGACTTTTGAAAATCCACCCCTTAAGTGCAAGGAATAAAGCAAAGAGAAGGACACTACGAACTAAATCCAGTGACTCTCATTGATTCTGATCATCTTGTGAAACAATATATGGGCAATATGCTGTTTGACCCCTTCAATAGCTAATTCATGACCACTAGACTTGTAATTCTCAGGCTTGCTGAAGTCTCATTCTCTATTTCTTTTCTTCCCAGAGAAGCACATTAAACGATGAGGATTCTGGAGAGTTGGTGAGTTTTCTTCTGGGAAAAAGAATGATGACAAAATGATTTTCCAGTTAACCATTATCTGGAAATCAATCCTGCTGTTTGTTCAATGCCTTGCTTGTATCACTGATCGGGTATTAACCTGTTTTCTTCAAACAGCTGACTGCTTGCGCAATGCTGTTCAGGGGATCGGTACAAGATTTCGTGGTGATATATATTGTACTGATGTAGGAATAAGCACAAAAATGAACAGAAAACATGCTCTCCCTTCCTCCGAAAGGCAATATTTTTATAAACCTCATGGCAAATCATGTTGTTTTCTCAATGAACTGCCATGGTACATCTTACATCTGACCTGGTCTGCCAAGTTGCCTCCTCCCTCTCTTATTTAAGTCTTTCTTTGAAACACACTTTTTCCAGAAGGCCTATAAATCCCAATCCTCCCTACATGTAGTGTTAGTGAAATACACCAGGGGGTTGTCCTCACACAGAGCTGAATTGTTTTACATTAAAGGAGTGATTCTAAACCAGTTCAGTTAAACCAGAGCAAAAGGCTGCAAGGCTCTTAGTCCTGTTTCCAGGCTTATTTTGGTTTGATTAGGAACAGGCTAAAGCTGAGGTGAACTGACCTAAGAGTCTCCACGCGGGTTTGCACCAGTTTAACTAAACCCGGTTTAGTGTGTAGACAAAGGGCAGGTCTACACTTACTTCCTGGTTCGGTGGCAGGCAATCGATCTTCTGGGATTGATTTATCGTGTCTTGTCTAGACACAATAAATCAATCCCGGATCGATCCCGGAAGTGCTCGCTGTCGACGCCGGTACTCCAGCTCGGCAAGAGGAGTACGCGGCATCGACGGGGGAGCCTGCCTGCCACGTCTGGACCCGCGGTAAGTTCGGACTAAGGTACTTCGAATTCAGCTACGTTATTAACGTAGCTGAATTTGCGTACCTTAGTTCGAAGTGGGGGGTTAGTGTGGACCAGGCCAAAGCCATAGACACAACAATCACTAGCTGGGATTGAACCTGGGACCTACTGCACCAGAAATTCAGCCGTCTCCCTCTTAAGCAAAAGAACTTTAGATACTAGAAAGTAGCAAACGGTCATGCAATATGAGCTCATGTACTAGGCTAGTATATTACAGTACTTTCTTGTTAGACGACCTCGTCCCAAACGTCTGAGATCTACAGGAGCTGAAGATCCATTGAGGGAGCCATTTTGTAATGAACTGTAGCTAAATACAAACACTGTGATCGTCAGCATGGATTGAGCCATCTCTCCATGCAAAACGTAGCTGGTGTATCTTTATCCCGAATTTTCAAAGTTCTCGTCTCCATTGCAGGTGGCTGGCGATGACAAGATAAGTATTTATAGCTACAAAGTTAAGTCCACCATAACGTCTCGTTTGGTCGACACCATGATCCAAAGCAAAGTGGAAAATAAAGCTAAGCATGCCCAAAATTTGGTGTTTGATGTGCAGATTCCCAAAGGAGCCTTCATTCACAACTTTACTATGTAAGTAGTGGGCAACTGTATCTATTGCGTGTGATAATTTCAATAATCAAATAAGAAGGTGGTGGAAGGATAAGAGGGAAAGTGTCCATAACTTCTATTGTATATAAAATAATATTTTTCCAAGATTTTTTTTTTAAAGTAAAAGTTTCCACTGGATTAGGAACAGGTTTGATTCAACTTGATTTCTCCTTAAAATAAAGAAACTCCACAATAGTCTCTGTGCTGATCTGTCTGTGTTTTTCTCTCTTAGGAACATAAATGGCATAACGTTTACTAGTTCAATTAGAGAAAAATCTGCAGCCAGACAACAATATGCTCAGGCCAGGGCCAAAGGCAAAGCTGCTGGAATAGTAAGGTACAAAGATTTTTCCTCTTTATTATGCTACTGTACTTCCTTTTCCTTTTATTAGAATCTTTAACTCCCAGACTCTGAGACTGGTCTGTGTCCTGACACCAAAATAGGATCTCTGGTGGAAATCCCATGAACATGAGTACAGTGTCTTTATTTAGGTCCTGATCCAGCAAAAGACTTAAGCACATGCTTAACTTTAAGCCCATGAATAGTCTCGTTGAAGTCAGAACTTAAGTGTTTTGCCAGATCGGGGCCTATATATCAAGTAATTGTTTTATGAAGTGCTTACCACAAACGGCTAAAACACTACAAATAAAGGGTCAGTATGATGCCTATGCACCACTTAAATCCCATTTATGTTCTATTTTGAGATTTACATGGGACTTAATCAGAACTTATACTGGCTCTCTGCACAAGGGTGAACTTCACCATCATGTGAGAAGCCCAAGCTTAGTAGCAGAATCAGTAGTGGAACCCAGGAGTCCTGATTCACACTTCTATTCCAACCACTACTTTACATTTGTTTTTGTTTTTTTTAAACAGAAACCAGTAATCTGCAAATGTTAGAGGTGGATTCAAAGAGCAAAATTCAAATCTAGATCCTGGTCTGGATTTGGAACTTCTTAGAATTCTGGGTGGAAGTTGAGATGTGGGTTTTGATTTTGACTGTGGTATAGAGTGGAGCCATCTGCAAACTTTGGGTGCTGAGCTGAGCCTGGTACCAAACATTCCAAAGCAGAGCTGGATGAAAGCTTTCTGATGGAACCTTTTTCCATCCAAAAATGCCGTTTTGTCAAAATCGATACTTTCTGTGGGCCTGTCAAATTCCAACAGATTTTCTTTCGGAAAAAAATTGAAACAAAGCTCTTGGATAAAGCCAAAATGTTCCTTATTAAAATTTAACAATTTGATTTTTTGTTTTGAAACGACTTTTCACCTTGACTGTTATATTATCATTTTTAATAATAGAAAAACAAAAAGGTGAGATCAGAATAATATATTTTAATTGACTTGAAATTAAATGATTCTGGACATTTCATTGGGTAGGAAGTTTTGGAATTTGCTGCGGAACAGAGAATCCAATTGCTGACCAGTTCCACTCCATTGCTTTGAATCTCCGATTTGGTTTATCATAGAAAGGTAGGCCTGGAAGGGACTTAGAGAAGTCATGCCCCCATGCTAGAATTGCCAATCCTCCAGGATTGTCCTGGAGTCTCCAGGAATGGAAGATTAATCTTTAATTTAAGATCATGTCATGTGATGAAACCTCCAGGAATACGTCCAACCCAAATTGGTAACCCTACCCCATGCTAAAGCAGGACCAAATATACCTAGACCATCCCTGACAGGTGTTTATGCTCATCTATAGCAAGAACAATAGTTCACTTGTCCAGAGCTCACCTTGTGTTTCCACCCTCAAATTGACAAAGCCTCATTGAGTTGATATGTAAGTGTGGTTCCCTTTTACAGGCCAAATTTAAGGCCAAATTAGCTATTAAATCTCCCTGTATTTTATTAACTCAGGTCTTTAGCAAAAAGCAGGTGTTATTCTTGAAGTGGGTACTGAGTGAGTTTTCATATTCGGGTGCTTGCCGCACAGAGATACAGCTTTGTGTTTTGACAACACCTCCAGGAGCAATGCCCTTGACATGGAAAACTTCAAAGCTGAACTGAACGTGCCCGGAGGAATGAAGGTCCAGTTTGAAATTTATTACCAAGAAGTGATCCGGAGGAAATTGGGATCGTACGAGTATGTTATCCCTCTGCAGCCTGGAAGACTAGCAAAGCACCTAGAGGTACAGGAGAGTCAAGGACTACAATGTTCTGTGTTGCTTCTCACCCAGATCACTGCAAGTGGCACGTAGTTGGCTGGTTCTCGCAGAAAATACGAGCATGTGTGACAGTTCGTGCGATGCGCTCTACTGCATAGTTATATACAACTTCAGGGCTCTTCTCCCTCATGAGTCGTCCCACTGAAGTCTATAGGGGTGACTCATGTGAGTAAGTGAGGCAGGATTTGCCCCTAATTTGTATAACATCTTTCAAAATATCCCCATCCCTAATTCCAGAGTGAAGTAGCCTACAAAAGCAAGCAGGGTTTTTACATAAGAAAACTTTTCATTGACTTCACTGGACTTTGGCTCAGGCCCTAAGCGAATGTTCACTGCTCATGCTCCCGTGTTGCAGAGTATGGGCTGCTTCGTGCTGACTAAGGGCCTGGACTTGTTCCCATCGATTGCTACCTTGAATCCTGTTTTCCCCGCTGGAGAGTTGACTCGCTGCCTGATCTCCCACCCAGTAGCAGCACCAAGGAGGGCTCCACCGATATTCTAGCTCCAGGTTGGGACTAGAGGGGAAAGCAATTCCCTTCCCAGTTTCCCCACACACCCTACAGGAGGGAAAAGCAGCTCACTATCCAATCTCCCCCTACCTTTGACAGCAGGAACAGACAACGCGTAGGAGCTGGGGTGGCTACTTGTCAGTCAGTCTTCCCTTGGCAATGGGACCAGCCAGGCTGGTGCTATGGGCGGGCAATCGGGGCGCTATCTTCCAGGGGGCAAGGTGCCACTCAGGGTTTATTTAGTTTTGCTTTGCTGACTGGCCAGCCTTTGTTCTGCTCAGAGGTGTAAGATGGGTGTGGGGGAGTGTCTTCTGCCCTGGCCAGCAACCCACCTAGGACTGTTCCTGGGGACCAGAGAGTGAAACAACACACTGTCCAGTCTGCCCTACCAGCAACTTGGATCCAAGGATGAAAGCGAGGAGGAGGGGGAACAGAAGGGAGCTCCCCCCCCTCCCCGCTGTCAGCAGACAAAGCGCTCCCACTCCATTCCCCGCATGGGGCGGGGGATCAGTATTTCCTTCCACCTCCCCTTCTCCTTTGTGCCATTATTATATCCTTGGGGGCAACAGTTTTAGGAAGAAATCACTGGAGACACAGAGAGCTGTAAACCTTGAAGCCGCCATTTATTGCCACACCAGAACTAACCAACAGCCAGCCAAAACTGGCTGGGCTAGCCCCTAATAATCTAACTCAGTTGCCATAGCAACACAAGATTCTATTACCACGACAACCAAATACACAACAGGCGTGAGAGCTCCCCCTGCTGTTTCGATCTGCTCAAACCACTGCCTGGACCCCTGGCAATAGTAACATTGGCTCTGTTCCTGTGGCAGCACCCTGAGGCTGGGTGTTGTCGCATGTGTGTTTTGGGGAGCGCAGAAGTGCTCATGAGACACTGGGGCATTTCTAATGAGGCTCCGTGTTTACTGTCCTCCGCTCTTGCCTGTAGGTGGATGTCCGCATTATTGAGCCTCAGGGACTTCGTTACGTGCATGTTCCTAACTCGCTAGGAGATCACTTTGCGGGAATCACCACCATCACTAAGGGAGAGAAAAAGGTAATGGTCAAAGCAGTAGCTGACACCAAGAAACTGTAGGTGTACAACATTTTCTCCCACAGGGGATAAGATTCTCCCAATACCCACTGGGATCTGGCAAAGTAACACACGCTCACCATACAGAAAGCACTTGGAAAGAGGAGATCTGTCATTCAGAATGCAGACATTTGATGATCGCACCCTACCCCACGTCTGAACAGAGAGACGTGCCAGATACTCAGTGAAGACCACTAGTAACTTTGCTGTTGCTGTTGATTTTAGATGAAAGGTGTTCATATACTATGGGGATGGCAGCAGTATAAAACAGATAGATCGATAAAGAACAACATCTAACCCAGAGCTGATCAATACTTCGCATTAGGAACTCAGAAATAATCAGATGCTGGGTTAGGGCTTGATTACACATGTAGTTATTCTGGAGCAGCTATTCCTGAATAACTAGGTGTGTGGACTCTCTCATTCCAGAATAAGAGTGCCTTTTTCCCAATCAGCTTCAAGATGGAAGTGAATTAAACTAAAACCAGAAAAAGGCACTCTTACTCTGTAATAAGAGTGTGCACACATGGAGTTTTTCCAGAATAGCTAGTCTGCTTTAAATTCACACCATACCTTATTCCAGAATAACCTTCACATGTAGACAAGCCATGTTCTTCAGGGCTAGTTGGTTCAATGATTTGATGCCCTAGACTTTGACCTCTTGAGAATCAGTAGACGTCTGTGGACATACTTTATGTTCTCATCACAAAACACCGGACAATTTGGTATAACTGGCTTTATCCTCTGACAAGTGCTCCAATTCTGTGTTGATGGGCATCAGTATTTAAACATATATACATGGATCGATAGAAAAGAGGCCCAGGTCTAGAGTAAAATAACGGACTGTGGTGTTTTGGCAGATATGTGTGTTGGGTGGGGGAAACTTGCTGAGCTGCTACTCACACTATGTTTGGCCTTACGCAGAAATCTGGTTTGCCCTTTAGATACCAAGATGATGGATGACTTTTAAATAAATAAAATAGACTCTACTACTACAGTCCCTCATATTCATGAGGGTCAAATACACACACAAATACAGTCTATAACTAAGGTTATACTATCAGAGGGGTAGCCGTGTTAGTCTGAATCTGTAAAAAGCAACAGAGGGTCCTGTGGCACCTTTAAGACTAACAGAAGTATTGGGAGCATAAGCTTTCCTGGGTAAGAAGTCAGCCCCCTGATATCAATGCACAGCTTCACATCTTGTTTATCCACAAACCCACTTAGCCAAAGGTTTGGGCTGAGGCACACAGGGTTGTAATTGGAGCAAACTGAATAGCATGAAAATGTATTTGCAAACACGTTGGCAAAACCCAGCCCACAATTTGATTCGGCGATGTTCATGCTCTCAACTGTTCATGTCAATGATCAGGTTCTGTGGCTATTTTTGGAGCTTTTATCTCTGCTAATACTACTACTACTAATAATAATAGATAATCCCAAGGGATCCCACTCATGGACCAGGGCACAGAACAAAGAGATGGTCCCTGCCTCAAAGAGCGTACAATCTAAATATAGTCATGGGCAAACATGGATAGTTCTGAGTTAACATGATGTTCACTATTGACTATGTGTCATTTGTTATTTTCCACTTTTAAAAAGTTGAATTAATCCAATCAGGAAAGAGAAACAATACCATGTGACAAAGGCAACAAATCACGGATCACTAATTACTAATATTCATAGCCCTCAATTTATAGGGAATCTATAGGTTGTCATTTGTTCAGACTAGCAATTACAAATAACAGATTCATGGAAATCATTATCATGGAAATCATGGATATTGTGAAAATCATGGATGTCATGCAAATATTTTTTTTCCTTGCAAACAGGAGCTAAAAAAGAGCTAAAATCATCCAGTGAATTGCTTATGACAAACAGTTTGTCCAGCTCTGTCTGTAATACAGGGCTATGACTCTGTGTGTTTGCACACAGAGCTGCTATCAGTGAAGAAACTGAGCGAAGAAAACCAAAGAGCAATCTTTGCTTTGAAGCAACAAAAATCCCTCTCCGTTTTACTCGAAAAATTACAAAGGTGCTCAATGAAATTGTGTGTCCCCTGGATACAAAAGCCTAGTCCATTGCTTCTTGCAGGACTCATTCCTAATCTCTTGAAATGATACCATTGTCGTGGGATGTGTGGTTGACTTTGTAATGGAGTCCCCTTGTTCACATCTCACTTCTAGGCCCACGTGTCCTTCAAACCAACGGTGGCTCAGCAACGAAAATGCCCCACCTGTTCTACCACGTCAGTAGATGGGAATTTTGTGGTGACGTATGATGTGCACCGAGAAACCAAAGCTGGAGAACTGGAAGTAAGTTTATTCTGTTACCATATGTTGCTCTCGTACAGTAACTCCTCATTTAACGTTGTAGTTATGGTCCTGAAAAATGCAACTTCAAGTGAAACAATGTTAAATTAATCCAATTTTCTTATAAGATTTAATATAAATGCGGGGGGTTAGGTTCCAAGGAAATTTTGGGGGGGCAGACAAAAGGCATTGTATACTGTACAGTACTGTACTGTGGTGGGGAGGTGCCCCTGGCTTACCCCACACAGGCACAGCCTGCTGCAGACAATGATGCAGACAAGGACGCTAGGAAGCACCTTGCGCAGCAGCAGTGGCAGCTTTCCCCCAGAAGAACAGGCACCGACTTTGCCAGGGGATGCTCCAGGCCCGCCTCTTCCTGTCCCCGCTCCACTCCAGGCCCGCCTCTTCCTGTCCCCGCTCCACTCCAGGCCTGCCTCTTCCCACCCCCACTACACATCCTCCCTGGAGCGCGCCGCATCCCCGCTCCTCCCCCTCCCTCCTAGCACTTTCACTTAGGACTTTCTGGGAGGGAGGGGGACGAGCAGAGATGCACTTCCCCACTCCTCCCCCTCCCTCCCAGAAAGTCCTAAGCGCCGCCAAACAGCTGCTTGGTGGCGGGGGAAGCACTGGGAGGGAAGGGAAGGCAGAGAAGAGGAACTTGGGCAATGCTCTCTTGTAAAGTCGCTGCTCTTCCACAGAGTCCTACAAGCAGTGGACAGAGCAGGCAGCCAAACAATGGTATAAGGGAGCATTGCACAACTTTAAACGAACATGTTCCCTAATGGAGCAGCGATGTAACTTCGAAACAACGTTAAGCAGGAGGACGTTCAGTGAGGAGTTACTGTACATAATGCAGAGTCTAGGGGGGACGTAGGTGGACCCTGAATATCAAGAGCTTTAATTTAGACAGTAGTGAGACGTAAGGGGCCATAAGACAAGTAAGGTAGCCCCTAAAAGCCAGAGGGAGACCCAGCCCCATCCCCCAAACCTGACTGTAATTCAAGTACTGGCCTTACCCAAAATGGAACATCAGAAATAGTTGCCACAGCAGAGCAGACTATCCATGATCCCCATCTCTGGTGCTCTTTCTGCGTTCCATTAGGGGGGGAACAAAGCACAACATGGCTGAACAACAGAAGTAATCAAGAATCCTGCATCCAATTGAAGTAGCAGGAGGATTTTAGGCAGGCAGAATACAGTTACCTAAACAACAAGTGGACAGGACCAGCTTCCTGTCTTGTCCAAAAGCCAGTGTCTCTTGCATCGCAGTGTTCCCCAACACCGTACTGGGGCACTGATTAACCGACTCCAAAGGAACAGGGTCAGAAGTTGTGAGAAGGCAAACTGGCACTTCATTAGCGTCATGTTGGCGTGGAGTAGGGTTGCAGGATTGAGCTCTTTTACACCATCTCATGCACCCCCCATGCCAGTGAAGGGGTGTTCCCAAAGCAAGTGAGTCCTTAGAGCCAATTTCTGCTCTCCCTTAAAGCCAGTGGAGCTCAGATACTGCATTATGGTGATGAGTGAAATACAAATGCAGCGCTAGCGACTGATATAACAGTGTGTATGTAAAAGCAGAATGTGGCCTGTAAAGAGGGCTGAAATCTTTCACTCCATTTACTGTCTTGTGCCATGTGGGAGCTTTACAGGGACTCTGATTACCATCGTTTGTATTTTGCAGATTTTTAATGGCTATTTTATTCACTACTTTGCTCCTGACAATCTGGATCCGCTGCCCAAAAACATTTTATTCGTTATCGATGTGAGTGGCTCAATGTGGGGACTGAAAATGAAACAAGTAAGTTCCTGATCTGTGCAGACATAAGGCCATGCCTTCATGTTCTCCCGTATGTTTAGCTATTGCTTACTTGACTGCCGCATACCTAGCTCTTGCCTGAACTGAAAACCACTAGGTTGGATCTTTAGGTCTTTAGTCAAAAGCGTCACTGGGCATTTGCCTGAGTAGAGGACTTCAGGATTTGACCCACCATATTTACTGTCCTTAAAATGTTTTAAGAAAGAAACAAGGTCATTTGAATCATACTGAGTTCTGAAATAGTAGATCTCAAAGCACTTTGCAAAGGAGGGTGATTTTTATAGATAGGGCCATGGAGATACAGAGAGGGGATGTGGACTTGCCCAGCCTCACACTGCAGGCCATGACAGAGCTAGAAATAGAACTCTCGTCTCCTGAGTGTTGTGCCAATACCAACGCAACACAACTTCCAGAGCAAGGTCCTCTCTGCTCCTGGCTTCTCCCTCTCATGATTAGTATTCAGTGGGGATGGGTTGAGGAGGACAAGTTTGGGTTTTGCAGACTCCTTATCTGGATTCTGTCGAGCCAAGTCCCATTTTACCTGGATTTCCACAGTGCAGAGGAAGCAGGCTGAGAGACAGCCTCATAAAAGGTTCCAGTTTGGGCCCATCACTCATGTTGTTGTTCACCTAGTTTCTTAGTCATTAGCTAACATTTATAGAGTGCTTTGAATAATGGAAAAAGCTAAACGTGCCTATTCTTGTGACCCCTTCCTGTCTCAGACGGTTGAGGCGATGAAGACCATATTGGGTGATCTCCGGTCTGATGACCACTTTTCTATTGTTGACTTCAACCACAATGTTCGCACCTGGAGAGATGATTTAGTTGCAGCCACAGCGCCTCAGAAGGAGGATGCTAAGAAGTACATCCAGGAGATCCATCCCAATGGGGGTACGTGCGTTTGATAACGAGGTACTCTCGGCACTTAGGTACCATGGGGAGAAATGCCTCAGACAGATAGACAGAGTCCTGTTCACAAAAGGCCAGATTTCCCATTCACGCAGCAAGACTCACAAGGAAAAGGGACCTAACGAGGGGGGCAGAAGAGCCCCCTGGTCATTCTGTTGGGAAAGGCAGGTGTTCCTTCTGTGGGGCCAGTCCCACAGAGCCCATGTATCAGTAAGAGACGAGGGCAATGGTGCCACCACACTACCTCTCTGTGCCCCCAGCACCTCTGGACTTGGGACCAGATCCTTACAGGTATGTAGGCACCAAGCTCCCTGTCACAGGGTTCACTCATTGTGAGCGGCACCTCCTGCTGGCCATCCTGGGAATTAGCTCTGCTCGCTTGCACTCTCCCTCCGGTGGTATCTTCTCCCATCTTGTTTTCCTTTGCAGCCCTGCTCTCAGCCTCAGGAACCGCAGTCACTAAGGTCCTCCCGTTCTGGGGAAATCAAAGTCTTTCCAAACTGGCTGCTTCCAAACTGGTGTCTCTAATGCCCTCGTCACTTCCTAGTGGCTAGAAGGGGAACCCAGGCCCACCCTGTACACTGGGTTCCAGCCCAGGCATAGGCGCCGACTCCGTGGGTGCTCCGGCGCTGGAGCACCCACGGGGAAAAATTTGTGGGTGCTCTGCACCCACTGGCAGCCAAGCTCCCTGCCTCCCCACCTCAGCTCACCTCCACCTCTGCCTCTTCCCCTGAGTGCGCCGCATCCCCACTTCGCCTTCCAGCACTTGCCACTGCAAAACAGCTGTTTTGCAGCGTAACAAGCTGTGGAATGGAGGGGGGAGGAGCGGGAACACGGCGCACTCATGGGAGGAGGTGGGAAAGAGGCGGGGATTGGGGAAGGAGTCCAATAGGGGCGGGGAGGGGCGGAGTTGGGGCGGGGACTTTGGGGAAGGGGTTGGAATGGGGGTGGGACGGGGCGGGAGGAGGCGGGGCAGGGGTGGAGTCGAGGCGGGGCTGGGGGGTTGAGCACCCACCGGCCCCAGGAGAAATTGGCGCCTATGAGCCCAGGGACCATATAACAAGCAACCACTGTCCCTGTACGGTCCTACCCCTTGTTGCTGTTTCCCTGGGCTTCTTCCTACCTATCTGGCTCCTCCCCTTCTCTGGATTTGCCAGCTTCAAACTCCCTCCACTCAGGGAGTGACTGCAGCCTACTTCCCTGCAGCCCTTCCCAGCAACAGCCCCCATTTGCAGCCAGGTAGCTGGGTTTAGACAGGCCCCGCCTGTTCCTGCACAGGAGAGCCTGTTCCTAATCAACCAGTTCTTTGCTTCCTGGCTCCTCCTCCACATGCACCCTGGGTAGTTAACTGGCCTATCTGGACACCTTAACCCCCTTTCAACCCTGTGTGGGGCGGACGCCCCATCACACGCCCATTACCTTTGAGGATCTGGTCCCTGGTCCAAGCAGCATGTCTCCAGGGCCTCCACTGGCTGCAGCTAACTTGGAGGCCACTAACCTGTTATGCAGTGATCATACTCCATGATTTATGGGCTCGATTCGCCTCTCATTTACAACGGTGTAAATCAAGAGTAACTCCCCTGACGTTAATGGAGTTACACTGGAGTAGAAGGAGTGTGAGAGGTGCTTAATGTCATATCTTCAGAGCACTGTGTGAACACTGAGCACAGGACGGATGATTTTGTGGCTGAAGCTCGAGCGCGGGGAAGTGATTTTGCCTACGTGCATAGCACTGGTGAGATTGATACGGGAATGCTGCGCCCAGTTCTGGTGTCTACGGTTTTTAAAGGATGTTAGAAATGGGAGAGAGTGCAGAGAAGAGCCACTAAACTGATCTGAGGGCTGGAGAAAACGCCTTACCATGAGAGATGGAAAGAGCTCAGGCTGTTTAGCTTATCAAAAAGAAGTTTGAGAGGTGACTCTTCACAGGGAGAAAATACCAGGCAATACAGGGCTCTCTGATCTAGTCCAGGAGAAAGACCTAACAAGAACCACTGGGTGGTAGCTGAAGCCAGACAAATTCAGATTAGAAATAAGGCTCTAACAGGGAGTGGGGTTACCCATTGGAACAAACTATCTAGGGAAGTAGTGGATTTTCCATTTCTTGATGTCCAGATCAAGCTTGGCTGCCTTTCTGGAACATACTCTATAGCTAAATACAAATTATCAAGCACAGTACGGGGGTAACTAGGTGAAATTCCATCATCTGTGTTATACAGGGGTCAAACGAGATGCTCTAATTGTCCCTTTCTGGCTTTAAAACCAATGACAGAGAGTCAAGACAGCTGGGTCTCTTCCCAGCTCTGCCCTGGATTTCATCATGTGACCCTGAGCAAATCAGTTAACTTCTCTGTGCCTCCATCCCCCTGCTGTTAAAGGGGAATAATAGTACTTCCCAACCTCACAGAGGCATTGAGGCTTCATTCATTCACATTTGAGCTTCTTGTAGGGAAAGGAGCTATAGGAGTGCAAAGCAAAATGTATTTTAACCAGTATCAGAATCTGGCCCTTTCATAGACATTTGTGCAAAGGTTTGGAATTTTTGGTTAAATTCTCCCAAGTATGGTGGGGATTTTTAAATCCTAGGTGAAGCCCACCTTAAAACAGAGTAATACAGTAGTGAATCAGGCCCACTGAATGGACCACAGTCTGCTTTCACTTATGCTCGTGTAAATCTGGGACAACTCCATCAATTTCAATGAGTAACTCCACTATAAACAAGCAAAATCTGACCTAATATACTTAAAGCAAGGAACTCCAGTGGGATTAATTAAAAGGCCATGCACCACACCCCTCAGCATCTATTTCTGGGGAGGCCTTTTACTGTCCTTGAGGCCTTTGTCCCTGGGGGCTAACACAAGTGCAATCCTAAGATGTATTTCCACCGGAGCTGTGGACATATTAATGCCATTGGGCAAGGCAGTGGTCAGACCTCAATTGGATACTATGTACAAATCTGATCACCTATGTTCAGGAAAGGCTCATTCAAACTGGAACAGGTGCACAGACGGGCTGTTAGGGTGATCGGGGAATGGCAGGTCTTTCTTACAAGAAGTGATTCAAAGAGCTTGGCTTGTTTAGCCTAGAAAAATGAAGGCTCAGAGGGGATATGATTCCTGTCTTTAAATACATGAGAGGGGTAGAATAAATGGGGCTAAATTGGCCATGAATAAATTTAAGTTGGACATGAGAAGAAGGTTTCTAATATCAAAGGAGTAAAGTTTGGGCACAATCTCCCAATAGGAGCAGTGGGGGCAAACAACCCAACTAGTCTGAAGATGGAGCTTGATAAGTTATAGAATGGGATTCTATGACAGGGTTGCTGGCATTAGCAGGGAACTGGACTCAGTTACTCAGGTCCCTTCCAGTCTTATGTTCCTATGTATTATTTTCTCAGGACTGAGCCTTTATTTCAAGAAGGAACGCTGCGTAGCAAACATGCTCATTTTATCGCTTCTTTACCAGGTACAAACATCAACGAAGCTCTTCTTCGAGCAATATTCATTCTAAAGGAAGCCAGCAACATGGGAATGTTGGACCCTAACTCCGTCTCCATGATCATATTGGTGTCAGATGGCGACCCTACGGTAGGTAAGGATCTTGCATTAGGTGAAATGAAAGGCCAGTTGAATTGGCTTAAGAAACACAACCAGCACATGGACACTCTACAAATAAGTTAAGAAAATACTATTGTCCCTTCTTCCGATGCCAGCATGTCCTGCTTCAGACATCATGTCGCCCCTCTGCCAAATGGTAGTGGAATTCTGGGGCTTTTCAGGTTGGCTTCCTAGTGGATGAGAAATGAGTGACATGGAGGCTGGGTATATCCTAAGGGTAATGTGCTTTATTTACATACATACTCCAGTCCTGGAACAGAGGAGATCACAACCATCACACAGGCAATCCCCTCTTCCAGAGAGCTCAGCCCAGACTGTGATGGCTGGTCCTCAAGAAGCTGCTCCATCCCAGGAATTGCCCCTAAATATGAAGAATAAAGCAGAAAGAAAATTAAGTTCAGTGGGGTTTGCATCGGGCCCCAACTGCACAAATTGCCTCAAAAGTCACCCCTGGCTGCTCTACAACTGAAGTTTCTATTTGGGGATTGGTCCTGCTTTGAGCAGGGGCTTGGACTGGATGACCTCCTGGGGTCCCTTCCAACCCTGATATTCTATGATTCTATGATTTAAAAAAAGTTACGTTCCTAGCCCTCATGATTGCAAAGAGCATCTTAAAATCATGAACTGAAGTGTAAACTATTAGTGGTGTCTTCCTGAGTCTGCAGAGAGCCTGAAACTATAGTTCTGTGAGATGAAAACAGTCCTATTCATCTCCATCTGTTACAACAGCAAACCAACATTCCCACTACAGACAATGAGGATATTCAAGGAATATGGGGATTTTTAATTGGGTTGAAGGGTTTGTTCTCCATTCAGGAGATGACTGAAAGTCACTCTCTCCCCTAAAGGTGAGCTGAAGTTGACTAAAATCCAGAAGAACGTGAAACAGAACATACCGGAAGATGTCTCTTTGTTCTCTCTCGGGATTGGATTCGATGTAGACTATGATTTCCTGGACAGGCTTGCTCATGACAACCATGGAATGGCACAGAGGATTTTTGGAAATCAGGAGACCTCTTCCCAAATGAAGGTGCATTTCCTTCCCTCCACCTCTTAAACTGTGAGGGTCAGATTCTGCTCCCAGCTGTGAATCTGGAATAACTCATTCGAAGGCAATGGAGTTACTCCTGGTTCACACAGGTCCCACTGAAAGCAGAGACTAGCCATGAGAGTTCAACAGGGTAACGATCATGTCTGTAAACCCAAGACCTTCTATAACAAGGGGCTCGTCTTCATTACAGGGGTAAATTGACCTAAGTTACACTACTCCAGCCACGTGAATAACGTAGATGGAGTCGACGTAGCTTAGGTCGACGTACCCAGTGTCTTCACTGCACTGCGTTGACAGGAGACACTCTCCCGGTCAACTTACCTTACTCTTCTCAGAGAGGTGGAGTGCCAGGGTTGACCGGAGAGCGCTCTGCCATCGATTTAGCGGGTTTTCACTAGACTGGCTAAATCAATCCCTGCTGCATTGATTGCAGCAGCGTCATAGTGAAGACCAGCCCATAGGGATAAACTCTGAACTGCAAAGTAGGGTTTTTGGAGCTGTGTTAAGGGCTGTCCAGATCTAGGATTTTACTCTTCAGCCAACTCTATAGAGAAAGAGTCTAGTCATGAAGGCTAAATTCTGATCAATAGAGTTGGAAAGTGCTTGAAGCCTGGACTCACATCTATAAGCAATAAATAATAAAGGGCCAAATCATCAAGTCCTTATTCGTTGACTTCACACCTGCTTTAGGATTTGGGTCCATATGCACCAGAATTCACGCTTCCTTCTGCCTCTGGGTCCTGGAAGAAACTAGGTGTTTGTCATTACAGACTGTGGGCCTGAGTCTTTCCATTGACTTTACTGGGAGCTGTCTTTGTAAATACACAGACATTTCAAGGCCTATTCAAAAGGGGAATTGCATTTCCTGAAAAATAAACAGTGCAGTCTGGCCTTGTTGGGTTCCAGATTGTCGCTTGTACCTTTTGCTGTTGCGTTAGCATGTCAGCGAGGGTTGTGTCAAACACAACAGTCTTACCCCCCGTGTCTTTTCCAACTGCAGAAATTCTACAATCAGGTCTCTACCCCGCTCCTCAAGAAAGTGGAGTTTAACTATCCTCAGGAATCGGTGTCAGATGTCACCCAGAACAGTTTCGATAACTACTTTGGAGGGTCGGAGATTGTGGTGGCAGGAAAGGTTGACGCCAACAATGTGCAGCACCTGCAGAGTATTATCACAGCCACATCAGTGAGTCAGGCTCCCTGGAGAACACCCGTTCTTGCGGCTCGCAGGGGCACAGCCTTCTCCCCATGAGGGGTAGAATGGGTCATATTGTCTGCAGTACCCCAGGCTCTGTGCGGGTTTATGCCAACGGCTGTGGGGTGTCACTTTCCTATCACCATTCCTGTCTTCAGTAGAATCTCCTAATAGTAACACATGGTACCAGAATAGGGTTGCCAACTTTCTACTTGCACAAAACTGAATGCCCTTGCCCTGCCCCCTGTCCCGTCCTTCCTCCGAGAACTGGCCCATGCTCTGCTCCTCTCCGAGGCCCCGCCCCCACTCACGCCATCCTCCCTTCCTCTGTCACTTGCTCTCCTCACCCTCACTTACTTGCTCATTTTCACCGGACTGGCTCAGGGGGTTGGGATGTGGGAGGGGGTGCGGGCTCTGGGGTGGGTCCAGAAAAGAGGAGTTCAGAGTGCGGGAGGGGGTGAGGGCTCTGGCTGGGGGGTGTGGGCTCTGGTGTGGTGCCAGAGATGAGGGATTTGGGGTGCAGGAGCGGGCTCCGGGCTGGGGCTGAGGTGTTTGGAGTGTGGGAGGGGGCTCTGGGCTGGAGCAAGGTGTTGGGGTGAAGGGTGTGTGAGGGCTCTGACTGGGGGTGCAGATCCTGCAGTGGGACTGGGGATGAGGAGCTTGGGGTGCAGGAGGGTGCTCCAGGCTGGGATCGAGGGGTTCTGAGGGCAGGAGGTGTATCGGGTCTGGGGTAGGGGATTGGGGTGCAGGAGGGGATCGGGGTGCAGGCTCAGGTGGCACTTACCTCAGGCAGCTCCTGGAAGCAGCCGCATGTCCCTCCTCCAGCTCCTACGCAGAGGCACGGCCAGGCGGCTTTGCTGCGCGCAGGGCCGGCTCCAGGCACCAGCTTAACAAGCGGGTGCTTGGGGCGGCCAAGGGAGAGGGGCGGCACGTGCGGCAATTCGGGGTGGCAGGTCCCTCACTCCCTCTAGGAGCGAAGGACCTGCCGCTGAACTGCCGCCGCCGATCGCGGGTTTTTTTCCCCCCGCCCAATTGCCGCCGCTGGTCGCGATTGCGATCGCGGCTTTTTTTTTTTTTTTTGGCTTGGAGCGGCAGAAATGCTGGAGCCGGCCCTGGCTGCGCGCTGCCCCATCTGCAGGCACCACACCCGCGGCTCCCATTGGCTGTAGTTCCCAGCCAATGGAAACTGCAGGGTTGGGAATTGGGGAGGAGGCAGGGTGTGGAGCCCCCTGACTGCCCCTACACGTAGGAGCCGGAGGTGGGACATGCCGGCTGCTTCCTGGAGCCGCCAGGATCCCTTTTCGACCAGGTCACCGTATACCAGAACAATACTTCACTGTAGGCCGCATCCCTGCTTTCAGCCCCTTCACTGTGCAATCCTCCTCTGCAGCTAGTGTGGAGCCACTCCACAGCAGCTGCTGCTTCCCCTGTGTGGGCGGCCATGGCCGGGGATGCACTATCCCTGCTGTGCGAGTGTGCACAAAGAGCCTCCCCGATGCCCCCACCGGAGATGGGATCCGCCCTGTGCAAGGGATGGTCTCACACTTCACAGGCTCTCCAGAGCTTGCCCTGCTCACTCAGCAGAACTGTCCCGGCTCCAGTGCAGGCAGGACCCGGGGCGAGCATAGAGGAGAGAGCAGGATTTCTCCTGTAAGCGGTGTACTGCTCAGCACAGCTCCCTCTCCTCTGCTAAGAGCTCTCCACCCTCTTCCTCACTCCCACCCTAAGTAGCACCTATAGCTCCCCTTCTTCCTTGGTAAGTGCAGGGAGAGTTCCTCCGGCTTTTTCAATCTGCTGTGACATGATCACTGACGGGGTGTGGGGGGGAGGTGCAATATACCCCCTTCACTCAGCCCTACTCATGCTGTCCTGTTAGCAGAATCACTTTCTAAATATGTGGGGGATCAGACTCCTAACAAGGGGACCCCGGTTTTTAAAGGTCTGTCTGGGTCCTGATCCGGGGGCGGTGGGGGTGGCGCGATACGACGGCTTCATTTCACCGGCTCACGCTGTGATCTTGGTATCTTCCATTCATCGCTTAGTCAAACGCCGAGCTAGTCCTGGAGACCCTGGCAGATGTTGAGGGACTGGATGATTTCCTGAAGAAAGAGCCGCATGCCGACCCCAAATTCACTGAGAAGCTGTGGGCCTATCTGACCATCAACCAGCTCCTAGCTGAGAGGTGGGGAGAAATGCCAGACGGGGACTTTTGATAGGGACCTAGCTGACCCGGAAAGGACCCTGGCGGTCACTGGGAGATGAGGGTTATCGGCACCTCCCAGGATCAGGCCTTTTATTGTACAAATGTGGAATATAAATGTAAACAAAAGAGCGTTCCACCTTCGCACCCTTGTTCTCACTCCTTCCCCCTCCTTTCTAATCGCAGGCATAAGGTTTTGGTTCAGCTTGTTCTGGCGGCAGAGTCAGTGGTGTCTATCGGGTCTGAAGAGGGAGGGAGAAATAGCTCAGTGGTAGACCATTGGCCTGCTAAACTCAGGGCTGTGAGTTCAATCCTTAAGGGGGCACTTAGGGATCTTGGGTAAAATCAGTACTTGGTCCTGCTAGTGAAGGCAGGGGGCTGGACTCGATGACCTTTCAAAGTCCCTTCCAGTTCTAGGAGATAGGTATATCTCCATATATTATTATTAACATGGATTGAATGAGTGAAGTTAATGAACAAAGACCGAGAGTAAAAGGATTTGGCCCCTTGTTCTTCTAGGCCTTGCTCCATCTCCCATTGAAGTCAACAGGAAGAGCCCCATTGAAACCAGTGGAAATTGGATCAGGCTCTTTGGGTCCAATCCAACGTCCATTGAAATGAAGGGGAGTCTCACTATTGACTTCAGTGGGCTTTGGATTGGAACTTTAATCTTTGCCATTCACATTCCCAAGGTCCTAGCTGGTTCCTACCTTTCTGATTCCCCTGTTTAGGATGAACCAGGATCACGGCCTTGATTTAAGCAGCAGCTGCCCTGCACCGCTGGTAACAAGGGGGTCTATTTATTTTTCAACACAGAAACCTGGCCCCCACTGCTGCTTTGAAAAGGAACATCACCAGATCCATCTTACAGATGTCGCTCGACCACCACATCGTGACCCCTTTCACGGCCATGTTGATAGAGAATCCTGAAGGGAATGAGAGAATGCTGGCAGATTCTCCACAAGACCAAAAAATAGGCTGTTGCCCAGGTGGGTGTCTCCATCTGCCCCATTTGTCAAGCTCTTTTTGGCGTTTAAAAAACCAACTTGCAGTGGAAATGAGCTGTTCATTGTCACTTGTGCAGACTAACATGGTGCCCTGAGACAACCTACGTTAGTGCTCATGCGGGGATCTGTATTTTAAGGGAAAGGCCCTGAATTAAATGGGCAGTTAAACCATCAGCTTCTTGTACAGTTAAATTTTCAACATACCCTTTTTGTCGGCGTTACCCTCGGTGGGGACTGACTGCACCACATTTGCCCAGTCTGAGCATTTCTGTAAACCTACAATGACACCGCTTTATTTGTTGTAGGAACAGATACGTCTGTTCCACTGGTTCTCAAACTTTTGTCCTGGTGACCCCTTTCACATAGCAAGCCTCTGAGTGTGACCCCCCTTATATATTAAAAACACTTTTTTATATATTTAACACCATTACAAATGCTGGAGGCAAAGCGGGGTTTGGGGTGGAGGCTGACAACTCGCAACCCCCCATGTAATAACCTCACAACCCCCTGAGGGGTCCTGACCCGCAGTTTGGGAACCCCTGGTCTATTCCCTGTGTTCCACTTATATAGAGGAGCTGATTGTGTCATGGTGCGGCTGTTTGGGGTCTCCAAGATGGCTGTGGGTAGGTCACAAGACCACTGGAACTGGAGCTCTCTTAAAGATAGAGTGTCTTCGTTCATTAGTCCTCCAGAGTGCTCTCTTTCCTTTGTTACTGTCCAGCCCCCATTTTACAGCAGCCTTCCATTGGGCCAAAGGGGGCGGGGCTTGTTTGTCCTGTTAGGACCTGACCTATCAATGCCCATTGGTGTCAATGGGTGCCTTTCCACTGCCTTCAGTGGGCACTGGTCAGGCTCTTAATTTATTCATTCATCACTGCAAAGCCAGATGACAAATCCAGTACCGACTATATTAACAGCCGTTATCAGCATAGGGCACTCGACTGGGATGCAGAAGTTTAATTCCTGTCATTGGCACTGACCTGCTGAGTAACCTTGGGCAAATCACTTCCTCTCCCTGTGCCTCAGTTTCCCCATCTGTAAAATGGGGATAATGACACTGCCCCGCCCCCACCCTTTGTAAAGCATTACGAGATCTGAAGATGAAAAGAGCTAGGTATTTTTATTATTATGTTGCGCTCTTGCTGTTCAGTGGTCTGTAATAGTAGTATGTTTTTATTGGAGGAAAATGTCTGAACTGTGGTGAAAATGAGGCACTGAAAACCAAATATTACTCCCTGAGGCTATAGCGAATGGTGATTTATCATGTTACTAAACAGGAGATATTCTGCTAGATTGAGATGAAAGGGAAGCAACGTATGTAGCTGCCACAGCACGGTCAATTTTGCCTTTCACTTTAGAACTGTTTATAACTATGCAGAAACTCCAGGCCCATCCCTCCTGCGTTCTCAGACTGCTGGAAAGATATCAAAAGTGTCCTCATCCTACTGAAATCAAATGCAGTTTTTAAGTCTGCAAGATGTTACAGTTGGTTAATTTGTTTTTCTTTTACATTGTAAATCCTCAACTGAGATCCATGTAGAATGAAAAGATTTTTATTTATACCATGTGCTATGGCTCACCACGTCTGCGCACCTCTACCCATGTCCATTTGCTAAACCTATTACAATGGGAATTCCGCATACATTGCATCAGCTGATTTCTCCAGGTCATGGTTTGCTTTACTTAGGAGGTTGGATGATGTAATTGATATTAACATTGGGGCCATTGTTCTTTCAGTGTGCTAACATATTTCCCAATTACATTAGACATTAAGGATCAGATCTTGTTGCCACTGAAATCAGTGGCAAAACTCCCGTTGAGCTACAAGGGACCCCCTAAGAGAGGATGATACCCATAAGCGCTCTCGCATAGCAGTCCTACACTGACGGCTGTAGAAAATACAGTGGGTTGAAGAAAAAAATCTTGCACTTACCCGGGATGGACTAGATAGCCATTTATACCTTGAATAAACCAGAATCAACCCAGGTTTAGACTGGCTTCTGCCTTAGGTAGTCCTGTCCCAGACGCGCTTCACAGTCTTTCGCCAACATTGAATTCACTCATTTTTTGAAAAGAACTGGTTAATTACGTATTTATTATTATGCTATTGTGAGACTAGACTGTATGCTGGATTTTTCCATTGCTTAATACGCAGTAGCATTAATGTGGGGCAAAATTCTGAGCTCCTTGTATAGTTTTTAACTCATTCTTTATCTCAAGCCAACCTCCCATCGAGCTGTACCAGTGGGAGTTTTGCCTGAGTAACCACCGAGTAAGCTCTGAATTAGGGTGAGTGTACAAAATAACCTCAGTACTTATTTCTCGCATGCCTAAAGGCTAAGGAAAGCGCTGAACCACAGCACATGCTGAAGATCTTTGCCTAATCGGGGCCTATTCATGTGAGTAAAGGTTAAAGGATCAGGCCCTAAGTTTCAAAAATAGTTCTCACACTGAGCACATTAAGGGCTTGTCTTCTTGAATATTTAATTCACAGCAAAGTGGGGTGTGAATCTACCCTGCACTAGCCTGCCAGGCACTTAGCAGTGTAACTGCAGGATCATGGGTAGCGGCGGCAGCAGCACGGTGGCTTAACCATGTCAGGTATGTACCCAGCGGTTCCAGGTGCGTTTGTACTTGGCACAGCTAAGCCAGGCCTCTGCTGCTGCCCATACTACCCCGGCTACACTGCTATTCATGCTCACACTAGCTCGAGGAGAGCTAGAGCAAGTATACGGACACAAGCAGGAGAAATCATACCTTCATTGTGTTAGCTATGTGTTGCAAGTGTAGCCACAGCCTAAGTGTCTGTGCAGACCCCCAACAGACACTAACAGTTCTTAGTGCACTTTGATCTAGTCCACTTTGAAATGGGACTAGATCAAAGCACATTAAGGAGCTGTTAGTGCACGTCAGCAGGGTCCACATGTATACCCTGTGCCGCAGCCTAGTGTGGGATAGATTCACCCCCCAGCTTGCCATGGACTAAATGTTCATGTACGCAAACCCTTAATTGTAAATCGGCCAGATTCTGATCTCAGTTACACCCGGGTAAATCTGGCATAAGTCTCCTGCAGTAAATTGGATCAGAATCCCGATCATTGTGTGCTAAAGTGAAAATTACGATGATCCTTTATCAGTGCAGCCATTTTTACTAATTTCCAATGTCATGTAACCTCTTCACAAACAGGTACTTTAGGTGTAGCCTCCAATGGCCTTGATAAGTCCATCCCACCCTGGGCGAAACCCACACCTACGGCAAAGCATCCATTAAATCTCAAGGCTCCAAATGTATCTACTCACATAACCTCAGGTAAAAGACGGTGGGCTGTCTGTCTGCTTTCCTCCCTCTTGCTTTGCTTAGTACAGCTCTTGTATACAAAGGTGCGTGTGTGTGTGTATGGGCCGGGGGAACAGAGCAACGGCGGAAGAAGCCAAATGGCCCGTTTATCCAAATGGATGGAGATAGCACTGCCTGCTCTCCATTCACCTAGGGACAGTCACTGCATTGCATTGGTTTTGACGTGCCATTTCCCCCACCCACTTTCAGAGGTCACTGGCCTCCACTGGCAGAGGCCCACATTCCAGTTTGAGAGCAGTGCAAAATCGCCACATATGCTCTCAAGAGAGGGCCTCCGTCTGGATACAGATTTGGCCCTGAATCTGAACTTGCCCGTAGTGAAAAGGCAAAGAAACCCCGAATATTTGTTGCATGGCTGCTACAGAAAGGGAATTTCAAAGCCTCATTTCTTCACTTTGATGCTGCCCTGCAATTGTTCTCAGCACCCAGATCACAAAGATTTGGGCCTACATATTCTAAAGCAGGGATCGGCAACCTTTGGCACACAGCCCGTCAGGGAAATCTGCTGGCGGGCCGGGACGGTTTGTTTACCTGCAGCGTCCTCAGGTTCGGCCGATCGCCCGAGTCAGTTTAGGCCCGAGTCTAAATGGCCTGGTGCTGAGAATAGCTGAGCCCCGTCTATGCTAGCATTTCCATTGAAACTAGCACCAGTGCTAAAAAACAAAATGTGCTAGGGAGATGTATTTATTTAGTACTGATTCATGTGCAAGGTAGTACTTTATTTGTCTGGTCAAAACCAGGCACCTCTTGTACTGGTAAATGTGGGGGCTTGCCCCCCAGTGTATTTAATCAACCCTGGAAACAATTTACCACGGGGCATGGTAGATTCTCCATCACTGACCATTTTTAAACCAAGGACGGCTGTTTTTCTAAAAGACCTACTCTAGGAATTATTTTGGGGAAGTTCTATGGCCAATGCTATACAGGAGGTCGGCCTACCTGATCACAGTGGTCCCTTCTGGCCTTGGCGTCAATGAATTTGAAGCTGATGATAGGGTTACCATTCGTCCGGGATTCCCCCGGACATGTCCGGCTTTTTAAGCTAAAAATAGCGTCCGGAGGGAATTTGTAAATGTCTGGACTTTACCCCCCATGCAGAGCACGGGCGGCTAACAGTGCTGCCGGCCGGACGGTGTCACTTACATGGGGCTCCGACACTCAGCCAGAGAGAGCACGTCCTCCTCCTCCCTCCCTCCCTCCCTGCATCGCAGATCGGCTCCGGCAGTCTGGAGCTCCTCCCCTGCTGCTGCCCAGCGGCTCAGGCAGGTCCTGAGCAAGTTCACAGAGACCTTAGGCGAACCGAAGGCCAACAACAAGGGGGCCAGGGGGTCGGAGAAGGGGCAGGGAGGTTTTGGAGGGGGCAGTCAAGAGACGGGGGGGTTGGGAGTTCGGGGGGGCTTTCTGGGGGTGTGGATAAGGTTTTGGGCAGTCAGGGTACAGGTAGGGGGTAGGGTCCTGGGGGGCATTTGGGGGGGGTCTTAGGAGGGGGCGAGTTAGGGGACGAAGGAACA